AAAAAAAAAAAAAAAAAGCAATCACAACAGTCTTCAGTGATGCTAGGGCTCCCTGTACAAACTTATTCCTCACAGTTATGGTAAAAGGCATGTCCTCTGGATATTTCATTGTGTGGGTCTATGGGCCTAATCTGATAAATCCATTCTAAAATGCCTATTTTCCTAGGCCATTGGATACCTTCTTCTATAGAATACAAAAGTAGGTCTGGTACTCCAACTTAGTGTAGGCTACCATATAATCTCATGTTTCAGTAAACTAAACAAATAAACTATTAGATCTTTTCCTAACCTCTTAAGCTGAAACATTGAATGAAGTATTTGTGCTTAGTGGGCTCAAATCAATGGACTCAGACTGATCCAATTTTATGTCCCTTGTACCATTATTCCACACCATTAATAGTCATTCCCACACATATTCTCTAGGTTTCTGTTGCTACATATTAGAAAACCCAAGATGTTCTTTTGAAGTGTAACATACCTCTTCTTGGGTCACTTCTTGGGTACTTCACCTTTTGGAGCTTGCTGAGACTTAAGTCTAGAAACAACAGTGCATGGTGGAGGTGATTCCTGGGAAGATTCAGCAACGTCTTGTGAGGCATCTGCCTCAGGCTATGTGCATAAAATGCCCAGGTGCCATCCTAGTGATACCTCAGAGAATGACTCAGCAAGCACAGATGGGTTAATCTCAACAGATGGCGGTAAAAGGGCTAGTTCTGCTGGAAGGAGTGTTTCAATGGAATTTCCATGTTCAATGCCCCAACTTCCTGATTGTCTGTCCATATGTCCCCATCCCAAGTTTCAGGATCCCATTTCCTCCCAATCAATATCCTCACTAACTCCAGACACAGTTTTAAGTTGTCAATTCAGTTGGGGCTGTAAATCAGCCACTGTTATGACAAAATTCTGGATTCAATTTTTGGCAATGTCAGCTCTATTACTATAAGAAATAAGGCTTTCTTTCAGGGCACAAGTGGAAATACTAAGACCTTTTAGGCAGCACTTGAGCCATTATTCCAAAACCCTGTGAGCTCATCTCATTCTTTCATTACTTTGTCTAGCGTAGGTAGTACTGACCAACCAGCCTCCCTATGCTTCTCACTCTGACAAAATTTCAGAAAAGTAACAAATATGTGATAACCTAGAGCCTCACTTCTCACCAATATTTGATCTATTGGTGGAGCTATTTTGTGTACTAATATTGCCATCTCACACCATAGAATAGGATCACCCTCCTTCCTGATGGAGGCAGTGTCATCAGCTCCTTTATGATTAATCAGGCTTGAGAACCAATTTAGAAATCTCATCCTTATGGTTTTGTTTCTTTAGAACCACTCTCAATACCAAATGTCTTAGGCTGAGTTCTTTAGAGAAGGAAAACCAGTGAAGCTGAGAGAGAGAGAGAGAGAGAGAGAGAGAGAAGTTTGTCTCAAGGAAATGATTCCAGTTATAGAGGCTGGCAAGTCCCAAGTCTGTGCATCAGACATCAAACTGGGGGCTACTACTGTAGCTGCAGGGGCTGAAGAACCCAGGATCAGCAGGCAATACAGTAGGCAAATCCCAAGATTGAATTGAATGTGAGGCTCTTAGCTCACAGGTTGCCAAGGCAACAATTCCAAAATTAGTAGGCAATACAGTAAATCATTGCTTGAAAGTCCAAATGTTGATGAGACAGTTGCAGGATCCAGAACAAATGAAAAGGCAGAGATCGTTGCCAGCACATGATTATATATTGGAAGCAGGCCACCACCCCTGAGGAAATTCCCTTTCAGCTGATTGGCAGCTTGTAGCACATCTCATCATGGAAGTGATTACATTTTATGAACTCTCATCATGGGAGATGACTGTATCATAACTGCTAAACAATTGAGATTCATGGCCTAGGCAATTTGACTTACAATCTTATGTCAAACAAAAGGACATACAACCTTATCACAGTGGGCCTGACATTTATGTAGTGAGAATTTGATAAGAGAATTCAGCTGTGAATTGCTGAGCTGACCTCCTAGGGAATAACTTTCTGTTTTTCTACAAACATCAAGGAAAATAGAAGTCTGAATCAATGACTTTTACAGAATTGGTTCAAGAGACTCATTTCATTTTGAAAAATGAAATGAACACAATATTAGTGACATGAACTAGTCCCTTAATTCTGTATTTTATATGTGTCCACAGTCATGGTTGCTGTTATCATGGGATTTGCTGTAAATTTAAGGCCAATCTTTAAAAATTGTGTGGTGTTTATAATTGTCGGGTTTTACAGCAAGCTTGGGGAGTTGTTCTCATGTGACTCTTTGCTCTAAAAAGGTGATATTTTATAATCAGACTCCAAGCAGGTACAGATAGAGAGCCCTCCTCCATAAGCAGAATGCCGCCTGTGAGTCAAGCATGTGGGGTTCAGTCACAAACATTTGTTTGCTCATTAACTCTGAACACAAGTCTGTGTCACAGGTGCCTTACTATCCCCATTTTACATAAGAATAAACTGAGGTCAGGACAGTTCGAATGATTTGCTCAAGCAAATAATTGGCAAAGTCTAGTTCTGTTTTTGCCCTAACTTTTATTTATTTTGTTGTTGTTGTTGAGATTATACATGGCAAAACATACACCAATTCAACAATTTCTAAATGTATAATACAGTGATATTGATTACATTGTTTGAGTTGTG